TACTGTTCATGTCCTTGCTGCTATTCCATAACCAGATCTTTAGGTCAATTACATGTAACTACTTGAAAATATTAGTTTAAAGCAAGGTTTCTCAGTCCTTTTCATATTTTGATGCCACAATCTTCCTTTCACATCCTGCCCTCCTCAGATGTGCCCCAGAATCTTTTGCACCATTTCCTGTAGATCTTCAGTGTTGCTGCAATAGTTCATGCAGGTCTGTTTACCTTTGTGCTTGAGAACTGATTTAAGGTGACTGCACAAATTTGGTTCAACAGAGGATTAGAGAAAGGGAGTGGAAAAAAATTCATGTGTTCTTGCTCCCCTTAACAACTGTTGGTTTAGTTTCAGTATTGCTGGGGCATCTGTCTTGTTATGGTCCATTTAGAAAAGAAAGTTAAGAACCCGGGATGACAATAGAAACTTGTATTCTTTCTTTAATCCAGTCAATCAAAATGGGAATTTTTTCAGCTACTGTTCACAGACAGGCACGGTCGAATAATAGACATGCCAGGACAGGCCAAGTTCACCAGTCACGTTGCTGATATTTTCACTGAATGATTAGGAAATAAAAGCTGAGCATATATGTATATAGTAAAACAGAAATCTTCAACTGAAATCTTATCTCAATTACACAAATGTAGCCATATTGACCTTAATGGCTAAACTAAGAATCTTATCCTCAGTACATTTTTCATTTCTAATTTGAGGCAAAAAATTAAGTAAAAATACAGTGCTGATGTTCTGGTGTATCAATTCACAATAGTATTGCTCTATGTTTGTACTACAGTAGTATGTTATCTAATACAAGACACCATCAAATATTCCCCATTGCTTGTTATGCTTGTTAAATCAGTTTTTTCTGTTTAGCAGTTTATGAAGCTTGGCAAAGTTAGCAGCAATTTCATTATGTACATTCATGTAGTTTATTTCATCATGCGGAAGTTACAAAAAACATTTGCAATTTTCACTGCTATTTGAAGCCATCACTGTTTTGTTTTTGTCTTGATTCACATCAGCTGCACACTTTAAACTATACCATCACAAAAGACATGCTGACCTACTTTATGTTATAATTCCTAGGTAGTAAACATTCCAGTGCATTCATTGCTAGTACTGGCATCTTGCTTTTAAAATCTGAATCTGACATGAAAGGATTAAATGAACTCCAGGTTTCTTGCAGTACGAATCATAAACAATTGGATGCTTTATAAATATCACTACAGAAATCAAAAGTGAATCGGTTAAATGGTGAAGAAGTTTTTGTAAGGAACAAGGATCCAAACTTCTTGCATTTTCTCCTTGAGACAAAGAATTTTGAAATTTACTACATATTGATTTAGTAGATTGTATTCTCTCATTACTCCTGGGGAATCCAAATTCATGTCTCCTGCAGATTTCTTTGCTTCCCCACAATAAAATGACTTTCTGACAGGGAAGCAAAGAAAAGCTGCAAGAGCAGTCATGCCTCACTCACTAGTAGCACAGGTACAACATTTCAGACACCCAGAGCAGCTGGCAAAGAGGTAAATCACCGCGGGGCTGGGGACACTCGAACCAGTGGCTCCTACCCTGAGCCGAGATCAGCTGCTAGTCCTGGCTGGCCTAGAGGCAGGAGAGGATGGGACTTCCTCTTCCCCTGCAAGGTGTGGCTGGGCTGTGTCAGACCCACCCCCAGAACCTCCCCCACTGCAGAAAGCTCAGCATCCTCTTCTGCTTCCTTCCCCCATCACTCCTCAGCTGTGGGGGGAAGGGTCACTGTACGGGAAGCTGCTCCCCCATCCACCCAACCCCTGTGCATCCAGACCTCCCATACCCAGACATCCCTGCCAAGCCTCGCCCGGTACATCCAGAACCCCCATAGTCCTCCATACCCAAACCTCACCCCACTGAACCTCAACCCCTGCACCTGGAGCTCCCCTGCACCTGGAGCCCCCCTGCACCCAGACAGCCCTCCACTGAGTTCCCTGCACTCAAACCCCCACCCTGATGCCTCACCCCCTGCACCACCCTGAGTCCCCACATCCAGACCCCCACACCACAGACCGCCAACTAGCTGCACCCAGACCCCCACCCCACCAAGCCCCACTCCTCCAGCACCCGGAGCCCCCCTGCTGAGAACCTCACACCCAAACCCCTCTGCTGAGCCCCAACAACCTCCACCTAGAAGCCCCTGCAGAGTCCGATTGCCCCTGCACCTGGAACCCACCCAATGAGCCTCTGTGCATCCAGATCCCCCCACACCTAGACCCCCCACTGAGCTGCCTGCACCCAGATTGTACCACACAGAATCCTCTCACCCCCCACCTGACTCCCCCGACACTGAGCTCCTCCACACTTGGATCCTGCCCCACACCTAGTGCACCGGGCACAGAGGGGCATGGCCCCTGGGTGTTTCTGGGGCAGGCCCAGGCCTTGTGCTGTGTCAGGGTCGGGGGCAGCCTCACCATTGAGTCCGTGTTGTGGCGGGGGGAGGGGGGGGCGGAGGGAGGGCTGCACGGTGGATCTTCCACCTTCATACAGCCAGTGGCCTCTGCTCCCCACTGCCATGCTGGAGCCTCTGCATTTATTTATTGACAAATAAAATTTGCCGAATTTCACAAAATATTGTGCACATAATTTTTAATTTTTTGGTGCAGAATGCCCTCAGGAGTATCTCATGGAACACAGAATAAGGCTCTCATCCTGCATTATTATTAGAAGTGACTTGTAGTACTTAAAGGCCTCGTTTTATAGCTGTCAGGACATCGAGTAAATACCTTTTTATCATCATGCTATTTAATACATGTCATATTAGTTCTTTGCTTGTTTGACTAGTGAATTTTCCATGATGAATATGAACAAGAAACTCCAAGATGCTGGAACAGAAAAAATTTCATTAAGTGTTGGCTTTATCTCATGAATTATAATATCTTGCTAAGAAGTGCGCTGTTTTATTTCCACATTGCAGCTGCAGCAAACAGAAAATGTTCTGAGCTACTGGGAAAAGGAAAATTTGACAGGTGTGAACTGATAAGAATCAGCATCTTAACCTCTGAGGAAGTATTTTGTTCACACAGCAATTAAAAAGTGTTCACAATCATTCCTCACCATACATAAACATATTTGCAATGAAAATTTTTAATTAAACTTGAAACTTCTTGGGCTTCCTGGCCGTCTTGCCAAAAGTGACACCCATTTTTTATTAAATCACTACAATTGCCACATGCAGGCTCACAGTCGTGCCTCTTCCCCTTCCACAACAGAACTTCACTGAGCAGGGGTTCATTTATAGATGCAGTGCAGATAGGACCAGATGTTCTGATTTTATAGGGACAGTCCCGATTTTGGGGTCTTTTTCTTATATAGGCTCCTATTACCCCCCACCCCCTGTCCTGATTTTTCACACTTGCTGTCTGGTCATCCTAAGTGCAGAAGTTAGACAAAAGATGCTGAAGTATTTCCCAAGGGTTGCATTTGTAAAGTATATGGAAAGAACAGAATACAGTGCAATAGCAGAGAACAGAGGGGAACGCTTTCACGCTCACACACTCGCACTGATGGTACATGGATAATTCCTTAGTGCAGTGTTCTTCACTATTTTTGTAGTGGGGGACCACTTTGGCAAAAAACCTTCAATGTGAGCGCCACATCAACTACTAAATTAACACATTGCTTACTACTCCTTAATGATGTCATGTTACAGAGCCACTCATGTAACTAAAACAAAGTTTATTTGTACAATAAAATGATACTCCTTTTATAAAATAATAACCAGGAAAATATATGGAATTAAAAAGGCATCTATGCGAGTAAACTTTTAAGAGCAGAATAATGTGAAATTTACTTTAAAAACTTGATGAGCAAAAGTGTGCCTGTTCCTCCTTGACTTTGTTCATGCAGTATTTGTAAGCTGTCATCGCAATCCGAGTAAGGCAGTCCAAATGTTCGTTGGTCAATTTGTTCCTCTGTTTCCTTTTCACCCCTCTGGCTGGGGGTGAGGGCTCTAGGGTGGAGCTAGGGTGAGGGGTTTGGGATGTGGGAGGGGGCTCAGGGCTGGGGCAGAGGGTTGGGGTGCAGGGGTGAGGGCTGCAGGGTGGGGCCAGGGGCGAGCGGTTCAGGGTGCAGGAGGGGGCTCAGGGCTGGGGCAGAGGGTTCGGATGCAAGGGTGGGGTGAGGGCTCTGGCTGGGGGGTGTGGGCTTGGGTGGGGCCGGGGATGAGGAGTTTGGGGTGCAGGCAGGCTGTCCCGGGGCTAGGGCCAGAGGACTCCCCCAGCCCTCTCCCTGCCGGCAGCAGCTAGCTCCGGGGGAGGGGCCTCTCCCTGTCCCCTGCGAGCAGGCAGCATGGAGTTCCGGAGGAGGGCCCTTCTTTCCCCTCCAGCAGCAGGGAGCTCTGGGGCCAAGGGAGAGGCCCACAGCAGCCCTGCAAGCCCCAACATACTACCCTCCCCAGTTCCCGCCCACCCCCTACCTTTCTCCTCTCTAGGTCCCTGCCACACGGCCCTTTAGAGCTGCTGCACAGATATTTATAACCTGCTACGTGGCTGTGCGTCCATGCAGCTTACAGGGAACTTAGCGAGCCTCACTTAGGGTCCATGGCACTGCCACTGGCTTGCAGGCCTTTCAATGGGAGGAGGGATAGCTCAGTGGTTTGAGCATTGGCCTGCTAAACTCAGGATTGTGTGCTCAATCCTTGAGGGGGCCAATTGGGAATTTGGGGCAAAATCAGTACTTGGTCCTGCTAGTGAAGGCAGGGGGCTGGACTTGATGACCTTTCAAGGTCCCTTCCAGTTCTAGGAGATGGGATATCTCCATTAATTATTTATTATTATAATGCAGAACACTGCCTTAGTGTCTACTACCAAACTGAAAAGATAGCAGTGTCCTACATGTGAAGACAATGGCATCCTGCATGTCACAGTCTATTATTATTTCATTTTAATAGCCGTTTAAACTACAACTAGTGTTAGGTTAATTCTGAAGCATTGTCATCTGCAATATTCAAAATATTATTTTTCTTACAGTGGCCTTAAATTTCCAGACACCTGGACTACAAATGGAGCTGCAAAATGGAAAATTTATGGACAACGGTTGTTGTGGCTATCTTCTAAAACCAGAATTCATGAGAGATTTTACTACGCAGTTTAATCCATATAATGTAACAGGAAACCATAATCCAGTAACTCTTTCAATAAGGGTAAGAGTGGTTTATTGACAATCTCATGTATAATTTATGGAAATATCTCTCATTGAATTAGCTGAACTATATTAACTGCCTCTCATAAGTATTTATTACTGGTACCTTTTCTTTTTCTTCAAAAGCTCATTGTGCCGTAAACTTATTTAGGGTGACCAGACAGCAAATGTGAAAAATCGGGACAGGGCGTGGGGGATAATAGGAGCCTATATAAGAAAAAGACCCCAAAATCAGGACTGTCCCTATAAAATTGGGACATCTGGTCATCCTAAGCTTATTGGATAACTTAGTATTATAAAGCTCCTTGATATCATAGTGCCAACATATTATAGTCAGTATTGCTTATATGATTTCTTAGTTTCATTTCACATCATTTTGCTTAAAGACACGCCTTTCCCTTGATGTTTGAGGAAACAAGTAACTTGTACAAAATGGTGTCTAAATATATATAAATATGGCTGTACTGAGGTAGATATCTAATTATCTTATGAGACATAGGAGCTGCAACTGGGTAAAACTATGCTTACGTCTTTAGTATACAATGCTATTGTTAGACACTAAGGATATAAAAAAAGATTTGCACAGAACTCAACTGGAATCTGGCTGGTTACCATTACTTTCATGAATCTCATAGCCTTCCACTCTCTCCACACAGGTTTTCCTTCTCTGCTCCCTTCCACAATCCCTCTCTTCCCATCACTTTGCATTTTGTTCTAATCATTGCACGGGGGCGGGGGAGGGCAGTGGACTGCCTCACATTTTTTAGGGGCACAGAGTGGACACTCCCTCAAGCAGGGTTTTATGGACAGCTGTCCAGTGTGGGACAGTCCATTACTATGTCCTTTCCAATATAGGAGGGGCCCATACCAAATAAAAGGAGCCCTATAATCCTTAGTGCACAGTTACTTGGGAAACCCCTGAAGTTTTCTTACTGGCTGACTGCAGGAAAACCTCATCATCTTTTAGCATATTTTATATAGTAAAGATGATGAGGTTTTTCTGCAGTCAGCTCAGTTGTGCGGTACCTGACAGCATGGTGTATCCCTAATCCTTATACCCTATGATGAATTTTTGTCCCAACCCCAAAATCCAGATGGCTTTCTATGGCTTGGATGGGGTAAAAGTGGCCTATACTAGGTGCCGCATCTGAAGATCATGGTGGTAGAGTTGGGAAATGACCATCCTGGCACCTCCTGAAGAACTGAGAGAAGATAGGCAGACCAGCAACCCCTCTGAAGACACAAACTGTAAAGCCAAGTTAAGGAGTCTGGGTCTTCCTTCAACCATAATTTATAAACTTATACTGAGCTAAAAACTGGTGAAGTAAAAGAGCAAACCTGGTTAGTCTCCGCTATATGAGCGTCCATGTTATATGTGGTAAAGGAAAACTTGTACTGTCACTATGGGAGCAGGATCAAGCTCTATACGCTCTAATTTGTCATTTTTTCTTCATTAAATATTAGGCATAGCATATATACTATGATAACATTAATTTGGTAAAAGACAGAATTGTAAAAATTTGGATGGCACCCTCTGTGCTTTACTGTCATACAAACCCTGGTTTAGTTTTAAAAAGCCCTTACAATAGATCTTATTTCTTTTCAACTCCAAAAAGAAACTTCCATGTTCTCAATCATTAGAAAACTAGTTTCACAATGAAATGTTATCGCTGATCATACTGTGTACTACTTATTAAATGCTATTTAACTAGCGTAGAATGAATGTATAATTGTTTCATTTCTGTCAGTGAAATAAATTGCAGGAATAAGACATTAATTCAATAGGGATTGTAGAATGCTTACACAATGTGTGTGCCTTATTCAGCACATCATACTACCCTAATAAGTGAGCACACTGATTACATGATGGAAGCGAATTAATGATTTCAAGCTCTCATGCATATACATCAATTATATTATTCATTATTTATATAGAGTTGTAAGAGATGAGGAAAAAGCTGGGTTGTGGTCTAGGGGTTAGTTAGGATGACTAGTAACAGAAATGAAGTGATTGTGTACAGAAGAGAGAGAGTGCGCAAGCAGAATTTTAGGTTGATAACAGAGTTGAAGAATGTGCAGGCTAGGTAGCAGGAAATCCAAGGCAGCAATGACATCTCAGGGACTGATGGAATGAGGGCCTTGGAACAGAAGAGTAATAAGGTTAAAGAGACGGGGATCAGGCAACATTGAAGGACAGGAGATGGTGGTTAGAGAAAGAAAATTCAGAGACAAGCGTCAAAGAGAAAACAGTTCACAATAAAGAAGAGATTGAGTTAATTACCAGGCTCATGAATGGGGGAAACTAGTTTGCTATTTGTACAGGAAACAAGCAAGAGGAAGGCAAAACAACTAAAGAAACGATGTCCCCTTTAAGAAGGTGTTTCTCGAGTGTTTCATTAGCCATGAGTGAAGCTGAACGCAGGTTAATTTGAACAAGAGGAACTTTACTAAACCCTGTGCATTGCTCTGTCCATGTGGCTGAGTTGCTTCCAGCCTAACTCCCTACGTTCCCTGTTTTCCTGGTGTCCCTTCAATAACTCACCCTGTAAGGAACATGGTCCCTCTGATGCCAGTTCAGCTGATCATGGTACATGAGAGAAGGAGCAGTCTTAACAAAGTTCATAAGGGCCTTACCTCAGGGCCCTGGTTCAGAGCTCCTGAACTTAGAATCATCAAACAGAGTTGGTCAGGCTAGTCCCCTGGAGCTGGAAAGTAGGGTTGTGATGGGTTGGATCACAGAAACCCCACTGGGAACTGCCAACGCTACTTCTGCCCCTGCTTTCCCTGCCAGCCTGAGACTCCAGCACCTTGTCTTGCTGAGCCAGACACGCCAGTCTGCTCCAACATGGACCAGGGTCTGAACCACATGCCCCAAAGCTGCAGACTTAACCTGAAAGCAGCTTACAGAAGTGTTCCTGTCTTTAACACTCAGATGCCCAACTCTCAATGGGGTCTAAACCCAAATAAATCCATTTTACCCTGTATAAAGCTTACACAGGGTAAACTCATAAATTGTTCGCCCTCTATAACACTGATAGAGAGATATGCATAGCTGTTTGCCCCCCCCCCCAGGTATTAATACATACTCTGGGTTAATTAATAAGTAAAAAGTGATTTTATTAAATACAGAAAGTGGGATTTAAGTGGTTCCAAATAGCAACAGACAGAACAAAGTGAATTACCAAGTAAAATAAAATAAAAGATGCAAATCTAAGTCTAGTACAGTAATAAAACTGAATATAGATAAAATCCTCACCAATTGCAGTAAGCTCCCTTTTACAGACTAGTCTCCTTCTAGTCTGGGTCCAGCAATCACTCACACCCCCTGTAGTTACCGTCCTCTGTTCCAGTTTCTTTCAGGTATCCTCGGGGGTGGAGAGGCTCTCTCTTTAGCCAGCTGAAGACAAAATGGAGGGTTCTCACTAGGGGTTTAGATAGACTTTCTCTTGTGGGTGGAGACCCCCCTCTTCTCTCCTATGCAAAGTCCAGCTCCAAGATGGAGTTTTGGAGTCACAATGGCAAGCCACATGTCCATGCATGACTCATCTTTTACCAGCTAAGCCACATTCCTGTGAAAGCTCAGATGTGGATTGGCATCTTCAAGTTCATTGTTGGCTTAAGTGATTTTTGATTGGGCACTTAATTTGCACTTTTCTTGAGAAGCTGACCAAATGCTCTACTAGGCTAGTTAAAATCAAGCAAGTATACAGCCAATATTCCTAACTTCAAGTATAAAAATGATACATGCATACGAATAGGAGGAATGTATTCAGTAGATCATAATCTTTACATAGATATGTTACATGGCAGATGTAGCATAAAACATATTCCAGTTATATCATATATATATATATTCATAAGCATATTCCCATGAAGACTTATGGGGTACACTGTCACAAGGGTGACCACCTTTGTTGGATGGAAATAAGGGACAACAACATGAAAGATAAGGCGCAATACTTTATTTTAAGGGACATTTTAGGGACACACCATTTTCTGTAGCATATCATGTATTTTTCTCTCAAGTGTACATTTCTACTGTCCTCAAGTCTACAGTGAAATTATCAGAAGCTTCAATTTAATGTTTAAAATGGTGCTTATTGTGAAGGCTTCGATTAAGCCCCGGGTATTTTTAGTACAAGTCGTTGATAGGTCACAGGCAATAAACAAAAATTCACAACCCATAACCTGTCCATGACTTGTACTATAAATACCCTTGACTAAATCTTAGCTTGGGGGGGGGGCACTGCTCTGGGGGGGTGCAAGGTCTAGTGGTACCAGCTGCCAGGGGCTACAGAGGCCAATGGCACCAGCTGTGGTGGGGCCACAGAGCAGAGGCTGTGATCTGGCCACCTCTAGGACTGCTGCTTGGGTGGGCCCTGGGTCCAGCTGCCCTGGGCCGCCCGAGCAGCAGCTGGTGCGGCTGGCCCGGGGGCCGCTCCAGCAGTGCCAGTGTGGTTGACTGCAGGGCCACCCAGGCAGCTGGGGCCAACTGCTTGGGTGGCCCTGGGGTCAGCCACACTGGCAGCTGCAGAAATCATGGAGGTCGTGGAAAGTCACGGAATCCGTGACTTCTGCAATCTCTGTGATAGACACGAAGCCCTGTTTATTATCAGTTTTAATACATGTCAATACATCTTAAAATAAGGGATAGATGGTCAACCAAAGGGCTAAATCAATGAAATAAGGGATGGTTCCTTAAAATAAAGGGTGGGCGGTCACCTTACTTAAAAGAGACTGTCGCTGCATGGCTCCTAGTCCTTTCTCTCTCGCTCAGTACCTTTTCAGTACCTTTTCAGTAACCAAGCCTCAGGGCAGGACAGGGCACCTCCTTGATTACATTAAGACTGTTTTGTTTTTAGGCTCCCAGCCTATCTCACAATGAAGTAGTACACTCCTTTACTCTGTCAGAAGCCAAAAGAGCTGATAAAGGAAAAGAGCTGAGAGGCAGTGTGGTCAGAAGTCTCTGACAGGTGAAGGCTGAATGAGGGACACTGGTTG